GGTGGAGGGTCGACGAAAGAGAGGGAGGCCTTCAATGAGATGGATTGACACAGTGGCTGCGATGATGGGCTGAAGTATAGCAGGGATTGTGGGGCTGGCGTGGGATCGGGCAGTGTTTCGTTCTGCTGTGCATGGGGTTGCTATGAGTCGGAAACGACTCGACGGCACTTGACAACAACAACAACTAGGACGTAAGGGCTATGTCTTCTTTCCTTACTCTTTCCCTGTACTTAGAATATTGGCTACCTTGTGGTACTGTCAAAAACACCACTTGCTGCAAGTCAATTCTGACTCGTAGTGACCCCATGTGTGTCAGAACTGTGCTGCATAGGGTTTCCATGGCTGTGACCTAGAGATGCCTCTAGGTGGATTTGAATTGCCAACCTTTCGGTTAGTAGCCAAGTGTGCAATCATTTGCGCCACCAGGGACTCCTATCCCATAGTAGGAACTCAGTAATTTTTGTTGAATGAATGAAGAAGTGAGGGAGACATGGGCTAACAGGTACAGATAGACAATACAAATCTTTGCATGCTGTGTGTATATATATATATGTATATATATATCTTTCTTAAGTTATAGTCAAACCCCACCTCAATATCTTTATGTTTATTCTAATAGTCTGTGGGTGGTAGTACCGCCCAACTGTGAATTGGTCAAAAGATAAGGAGGGGCAGAAAAGTAGTTTTGAGTACATGAGTAACCCATAGAATGAGTTAAAAGTGCTGAATACCCTTAAGTGGCAATTGGATGCTGATAACAGCCACCCAGGCAATGATTTATCTGTTTTTATCAATAATCCTCACTGTAAGTCTATGTGGTCCATCCTATTATTATTGTTATTTCAGAGATGAAGAAACTGAGGCCCAGAGAGGTGAAGTCACTTGCCCAAAGCCTCAGCACCCACTGCTTTCTGCTCCATGGGGGCAAGATGGACAATGACTTCCCTTGCAGCAGTCAGGAGCTTGGCTCTGGGCTGCTGGGGACAGAAATCAGGAAGTGGGACCTTACCGATATACATGGAGTTGGGGAAAGGCTTGGCAGGCAGGATGGAGTTCTGAAGGGCTTCCTCATCATTGGAGGGTGGTGGCTCGTAATCAGCATCGTCCTCCACAGGCACTTCTCCTTCCTCATTGGGGGACTCATAGTCATCATCATCCTCTCCATCCTGATCCTCATTGGGACTTTCATAGTCATCTTCTTCCTGTCAACACACAGTGATAAGGGTAGTGCAGTTTGTAGAGGCTCCATGGCACACCATGGGCCTGCATCTATTATCTCTGCCAAGCCTTACAACAGTCTACCCTTGAGGACAGACAGCCCCAGTGTAGCTACTTTCATTTTACAGATGATATCAGGGAGCCAATATCACATGACTGCAAGACATGGGTTTGGGATCTCTATCCAGATCTTCCAACCATTGAAAAGAAAACCCAGAAAAACAAAAACAGTTGCCATCAAGTGGATTCCTACTCCAGGCACACATTCAACCCTATATGTGCCAGAGTGGACCATGTTCTACAGGTTATTCAATGGCTGATTGTTCAGAAGTGGATGACCAGGCTTTTCTTCTGAGGCACCTCTGGGTCGACTCAAAGTTCCAACCTTTTGGCTAGCAGCTAAGGCAAGGGCTTTTTCCTGGATACCTTTTTTGTACAACAAGGAAAAGCAGAGAGACTAGAAGGAGGACCCTGGGATAGCAGATGGGAGAATGACTGTCATTGAGTAAACACATTTATTATTTGAGGCATCATGGAAAGCAGACCACAAGCCTAGGGCATCTGTGATGATGCTGGTTAATTGTTAGCTCTGTTTTTACCATGCCTGTGCTCAAAATGTTCTCATTATAACCTAATGCTCACCATTGAAGGCCTTGCTAATGGGAGAAACAAGATAACCAAAGCCTGCTAATTAGAAGGCAGATTAAAGTGTCTGAGAGAGGATGGTCAGAGGTTGTGCTCTTTGTTGAGAGTTGAAAACGACAGCTTTTATTCATGGAATCTGACACAGAGTTGTTGAAGCTTCTCTCTCAGAGAACATGCTGTTTCTAAATTTTTGTTTTCGTTTATTTTTGCTTCTTCTTGAGTCTCGGAGGAAGAAAGCCCTAGGTGCTGAGTGACTGTATTTGAAGCAGTCTATGGAGTACCTAGGTGATGTAAACAGTTAATGTGATCAGCTGCTAACCCAAAAGTTAGAGGTTCAAGTTGACCCAGAAGCACCTTGGAAGAAAGGCCTGGTGATCTACTTCTGAAAAAATCAGCCATTGAAAACCCTGTGGAGCACAGTTCTACTCCAATACCTTCAGGTTGAGGCTTACTGGCAGAGTGAGGTGTCTCTGGACACCTTTTGGTGGAGCTAAAGAGCTTTGTAACACTTGCCCAAACAAGCAGAGGTTAGGCCAGGCCAAAAGACCCCAAAGGCCCAAAAGGCCCAAAGGGCCCAAGGGACCTAGAGGTCAAGGGGCTGAGGGCCAAAAGGTCTCAAGCAAGGGAGAGATTTGCTTGTGGACATGACTGAGAAGCTGTCCTGACTGAACAATTGTATCCTATGCAGTTCCTGTTCCCGGATTGTAACCCGTTACTTCCTTAATAATCCCCACAACTGTGAGTGTGGTCTGTGATTTCTGTGTAGCCATTACAATGAATCATAAAACTCAGCAAAGAAGTAGAGTGCCATGGGAACAACAGCCAGTGTCAGATTTGGTGAAAAGGTTGGAGAGAGGAGGCATGTTTAACTTCCATTGAATAGAAATCAACCTTGGGCTGTCAATCTTGATTCTCCTTCCCCTTTGTGAAGTTAGAGGTCAGACACTGCTACCATGCCATTTTTACAGTTGAAATCGACTTGATGGCAAATTGTTACGAAAGTGGACAGTCACAGTAATGACTTCCCACATGGAGATGACAACATCAGCCACTGAGTAATTTTATGCCAAAGCTAAGTGGGCAAATGAAGAAACCCAGGGTACCTCTCTACAGTCAAGGACTGTGTTGAAAGAAGAAGCTGGAAGTTGCAACTTGTTGAGGTATGTATCATAGTCTAGAACTCCTGACAGCCTTCAAAGGTGGCTTAAGAAAGACTGTCTTTAAGTTGAAAACTTCCTGTTTTTATTTTTACTTGTTGTTGTTGTTGTTGTTGTTATGTGCCGTCGAGTCGGACCCGACTCATAGTGACCCCCTTGGGTTTCCAAGGCAGTATCACTATGGAAGTAGATTGCCCCATCTTCCTTCTGAGGAGCAGCTGGTGGGTTTGAACCGCTAGCCTTCTGGTTAGCAGTCAAGTGCCTTAGACACTATGCTACCAGAGACTTGAGTAATATTAAAAAACAAAAACTAGAAAGGTAAAATGAGGGTTGAGTTTTCCTCATTTCAGAAAAAGACTTAGTCCTGCCATGTCAGTATTTCTATAACAAAAGGGTTGTTGCTGTTGCGTGCTATTGACTTGTTTTTGAGTCATACTGGCCCCAAGCCACAGAGTAGAGCTACCCCATGGGGTGTGGTTTTCTTGGCTGTGAGCAGACAGCCACGTCTTTTTCCTACTGAGATTCTGGGTGGGTCAATTAGACAACCTTTCTTCTCCTTTTTTGCCAATAGCCATCCTTTTGGTTAGCAGCCGAGCACTAGTAAAACTTTGAGACAATAGCCACAGCTCTGAGTTCACAGAAAGTAAGCCCCTCTGGCCGCTGTTGTTGTCCCCCTAGAATGGCATTGTCCCTCCTTCCCTCAGCCTGACCAATCCACGCAGTTGATTTTCTCCTCATCAGTTGGTGCCAATATTTTTAGGCACTTTTTAACCCAATCACAGTCTCTCATATTATGTATTGTCTATACTGTACTGCCGACTCGACGGCACATAACAACAACAACAACAAATACTGTACAATAATAAGAGAATGGGGTCCTTTATCTCCTTTTTATATCAGAGTTTTATGGTCCCCGCTTGATGGAAACCCTTCAGTTTATGGGCAAGACTAAGGAGTCTTGCCTTGAGCAAGCAGTGCAAAGATGATGCAGCTTCTGCATGAAAATGTAGAATTTTTTTGGAAAACTCTGGTCTATTTATCCAGATGCCCAGAATCCATCCATCATATCCCTTTCTTTCCATGTAGAAAGTGCAGACTTAGCTGACACTTTTGCAATGGAAAAGCTCTCTTTTACTAGAATCCTAGTAAGACCTGAGGCGTTCTGTGCCTGCTTTATAACAAAATGAGAGGCAGCTGAGTACCAGAAGACCACTCTACTGAGGGTCAGTGACCTGGGTCCTTGGCTTGTCTCTAACTAGTTATATGGCTTTATTACATAAGTCATGTTCTCCAGGGGGCTCAGTGGCTTCATCTGAGAGAAATACTGAGGATAAAAAGATTGGACTCTGATCCAGAATAGAGATCTTAGCCTGAGTCTAGAGTCCCTGGGTGGTACAAACAGTTAATACACTTGGCTACTAATGGAAGGGAAGGGGTTCAAATCCACCCAGTAGTGCCTCAGAAGAAAGGCCTGGTGATCTACTTCCAGAAAATCAGCCATTGGGAACTAGAAACTCTACGGGGCATAGTTTTACTCTAACACCATGGGCTTCCTATGAACTCACTGCCATTGAGTCAATTTCAACTCATAGCAACCCTCTTTGGGTTTCCAAGGTGATAAATCTTCATGGAAGTAGATTGCTCAGTTTTTCTTCCATGGAGTAGCTGGTGGGTTTGAACTGCCAACCTTCTGGTTAGCAGTCAAATGCCTTAGGCACTACACCACCAGAGCTCCTTATGAAGTTGCCATGAGTTGGAATCAATTCCACAGCAATTGATTTAGCCTGAGTCTAGCATCATGTGTGGTGACCATATATGTGGTTTTCTGGGGGAAAAGGATGCACACCATTCACTAGAGTCTAATAGGGGTCGTTGTGACCCCTCAAATGCAAAAAAACAAAACAAAAACCAGATTGCAACTTCCCTGAGGTACATTCAGGGCTACTAGCTCATTCTGAAATCCCTTTCCCTTAGTACCAGGGATGGTGATTTAAGGCCATGATAAAACCTACATTAGTGTAGATTTCTACATCCCTTTTTGGAGATGAGGTGGGGGAAGGTTATGTTGTTAGGATAGTAATGATGAGTAATGGACAGGTCAGCAAACTACAGCCTGTGGGCCAAGTCTAGCCCTTTTGTAAAGGAAAGTTTGTTGGCACACAGCCACACAATTCATTTGCACATTCTTTGGTGCTAAAACATCAGAACTGAACAGTTGAGCAAAGATCACATGGCTCACAAGCTTGAAAATATTTACTATCTGGCATTTCACAGGGAACAGTTTCCAGCCCCTAGGCAGGTGTCTTGACATCTTGTTAGAGACCTTTCTACTTTGAGCATGTTTGTTCCTTATTGAAAAGGAAGTCTAGAAACTACTGCAAAGATAGGTCAACCCACACCATACTCACAAAGGATGACCAGCCTCCGTTGTCTTCTTCGTGACTTTCTGTGGGAGGAGACAACACCATGGTCAGTACCAAAAGATGCTACTAGAAGGAAAGTCAAAGTGGACCCTCCATCTGAAGTCCTCCTGTACCCACTGCCCCACCCCAGGCCTTCATCCTACTTTTTACACACCTGGGAATTAACAGCTTGACAGCAGCTCTAGAATTTCTACCTGAGATGCTAATTCTACCAGAAGGCAGTAGTTCTCAACTTTTCAATTTCATAAAACTCACCTAAGTGGTGCTTTAAGATATGCAGATACCTGGGGCCTTATCTCTAGAGCTTTGGATTTAGCAGGACTGGGTGGAACCCAGGAATTTGCATTTTGACACTATGTGTTATGCACCAGAGGAAAACTGCTTGAAAGACTCCAAACAAATCAGGGGGACTGGTTTACCTCAGGAGTTGAATCAATGGCTGAACCCTTCCTATGCTCCCAAACAGAGCTCCCAGAATTCCTCAGCGGTCTCTGCAGAGGGTCCCAGCTGAGTAGTGACCATAAGCCAAGTGCCCTGCAGAGTGACATCTCTCCTTCCCTTATTTTGAGCCCCAATCCCTCTTCTAGATAAGAACTAGCTACAAGCAATTGAGTAAGGCCACCTGCCTCACATCCCAGGATCCCCAGAAACCAGAAGACAGAATCACAGAAGTGCCTGCCACCTCCTAAAGCAATCACATCTCCACCCTGAGACCTTTACCTGTCTCTTCAGGAAACCGCTGGACTTGGGGTCTATGAAGGCAAAGAACATTGCATTAGTGGTGTATTTAGTTAAAGAGTCCCTCCCTCTTTCCTTTATCCAGCTCTGTGAGAGGAGCCCACAGAACAGGGTATGTCTTACCATCCAAGACCTGTGTCCTTGTCACTTGGCAACAGGGGCCAGGCTGCCCCAGAATTCTGGAAACCACCCAAACCACATTGGTGACATGGCTGGGAGCTTGTGACTGCTTGACTCTCCAGGGGAAGTTCCCCTGCTGTCCTAGAGCTGGGACAGGGCACAGGGCAAGGAAAGGGGCCTGCCCTTTCATTGGGAACAAGCTTAAAAATCTCTGAGACTAAGAAGGCCACTACAGGTCAAAATTCAGGATAAAAAGAGTTTCGTTTGATTTGGGTTTTGAAAATTCTTTAGTTTCATTACAGTCAACATGAGACACTTGCCCCACTTACTTCCGTGTGAAGATGCTCCTCCTCTCTTCATTCTTGTTGATCTCTTGACTTAACTTACTGAGAATCCTGCAAGATAGAAGAGCATGATGGGCTCACAGAAGACACCACAGACAGAGAAACAAAACCACTCTCTCCAATCCCTGCTCAACCTTAAGGGCTCTGAGCTCCGAACTTCCCTGCTTTGTATGACCTCAGAGCACCACAGGACATTTGACTTAGCTCCTGGACCAACCTTGGCCAGCCACCTCCTCTCCTCCTTGGGTCTACATTCAGCCTGGCCTCCTTCACTTCCATGGATCCTCTACCCCTTGCTTCCTCCCCAAACTTGTCATAGCATTGCTCCTGCCAGCCCTTGCTCATGTCAACCACCCTGCTATTTATTCTTTGCTGATTTGTCTGGATCCACCTTTAAGGCCTTCCATGAAGTCTTTCTTGTCTGCTGCCTCCTTCTCCAAAATTCTGAAGCTTTATGATCTAGATACAACAGCTCTGTATTTCATTGTAGAATTTCTGAGAGTGAGGTCCCCTTACTCCTGGCTTAGCCTTCTTGTGGTGGTGTCTTGCTTCCAGGAATTCTCAAACCATCTCCTAGACTTGGAGGAATCAACTACTTATTGCCTAATTCGTATCAAAAGCCATACTGAGCTGTTCTTTGGCCTATTAGGTCCCTCAATTTTCCCATCCATGCTTCCTACTCAGGGATTCTTGCAAAGGCCTAGAGATGCATTTCTAACACAGGCAGAGTCTGCAGAATTGAGCCTCCCTGAACTACCATCCCCTGAGGTTGTCCTTGGCCAGGACCCTCAAAGTTACTCTGAGTCTTTAGGTACTGGAATACACATACACACACATGCACACCTCCATGCACATGCATTCACACACACACAATGTTTGTATTTAGAGAGTCCTTGGGTGTTGCAAATGTTAATATGTTTGGCTGATAACTGAAAGGTTGGAGGTTTGAGTCCATCCAGAGGTATCTCAAAAGAAAAGTCTGGTGATCTTCTGCTGAAGAATCAGCATTGAAAACTCTTGGGAGCACAATTCTACTCTGACACACACAGGGTGGCCATGAGTGGAGATGACTCAGTAGCAACGGATTATACATAGCCTCAAACCCCAGGATATGGAAGACTCCATATCACCACTGTACCTCAAGCACAACCCAAGGCAAGCATCCATCCTGACCTTTCAACCTCCAGATACAAGACTGCAGCCTCCCTTAGCACCCACTGCTGAGACCAAAAAGGACCCTCATTGGTAAACAGACCGAGTGTTTGCTAGAGATTTGGGGCAGTTGGGGAAGTTTTAGAAATTTTCTAGTCCAATGTCACTTTAGAAATGAGTCAATGGAGGCCCAGACAAAGGAAGGGATGTTCTAGTGTCACATAGTGGGTTAGTGTTGAAGACAACTCCTTCCCACAGCACACACCAACCCCAGAAGCCAGGCTCAGTGCATTTTCAACACACTGCATCTTTGCATTAATTTCCTTTATGCTGCAATCTACTTGAGAGTGGACATTATTGAGTCTTTGGTCCATCTACTAGAATAACATTCTTTCTAGAATGTTCCTTCTAGAATCTAAATTACTTCTGTTTAAGTGACCCTCTCACAGTAATAAGTTTAGTCAAAACAAAACTGCTAAGTTACTAAAGGTGGTCCTTAGTATTCAGCACTTCTCTTTCCTTCCCCAAGATCCCAGGGAACTGCTGCCATGAGCCCTCCTGCCTATTAAGAACAAATGCATTTTGATTAACACACTAGGGACTTAAGAAAACAGAGAAGGAGAGAGGGCAGTGTTTAATGCTCTGTAATAATTTTATTGTTAGGATTTCAGACTTCAGTGACTGCCTAGAGGGGAGATGCTTTAAAACAGGGACAAGTGCTTCCCAGTGTTCCCCTACCCCCATCATTGCACCATCAGAATGCTTGTGATATGTTTCATCTTGTTTCCTTTCAACTGATTTTGCTGCAGATCTCTGTCCTCCCTCCTCTGACATTTGAGATTGGAGGGCTCCTACCGAGCTGCCAGGGGAACCCTGTTAGAATAGTTAGTAGAGCATCCTGACACATTTACTCAACAGTATTCATGAAGGGCATTCTAAATGCCAGGTGGGAGCAGTGATGATTCAGTGATACTGCCTTCCATGAAGGAGACTGGTTTGATTCTCAACCAATTCATCTCCTGTACAGCCATGGCCTGTCAGCATGTTACTATGATGCTGAACAGGTTTTTACCAGAGCTACCAGCGTAAGATGGACTAGGAAGAAAGGCCTAATGATCTACTTCTGAAAATCAGCCAGTGAAAACCCTATGGATCACAACACTCTGATCCACAACTAATCCTGGGGCTGGCGCAGGACCAGACAATGTATTCTATTGTGAAGACTTTCCAGAAGCTAACAACCAGTGCCAGGAGGTCTATAAGCGCATCAATAAACATAACAAAGATCCCTACCCTCAAGGAACTTACACACTAGTGGAGTGAGTCAGACAATAAGCAGTGGTCACTGAAAGAAGTAAAAGTGTGAGCACTGCATATAGAAGGGACACTGGTGGCACAGTAGTTAAAAGTATGACTGCTAACCAAAATGTCAGCAGTTCAAACCTACCAGCTGCTCTGTGGGAGAAAGACGTGGCAGTCTGCTTCCATAAAGATTACAGAGTTGGAAACCCCATGGGCAGCTCTACTCTGTCCTATAGGGTCACTATGGGTTGGAATCAACTCAACAGCAATGAGTTTGCCCATTGCTTGGTTAAGGTGAGGTTGTAATGAAAGATAGGGTGATCAGGGTCAGCCTTGATGAGAACCTGACATTTCAGCAATGACTTGAGGAGATGGGATGAGCCACACCTTGACACCTTTACCCCACACAGCTTGGCTGGGCTCTGACATTTCATGCTGCTCTGGATCCTGAAAAGACCTCCTGATCTCTGTGGTGCTTTTTCTTACCAGTATCTGTAGCAACCAGGCTGCAGGCTTCTGAAGCTCTAAGTAAGGAAGGAAATGCCAAACCACAGATCCCACCAAAGAAGCAGCACAGAGAGCAAGAGAGTGAATAGGGCCTGGCAGTCCGCCTACAGCAGCACAGGCTTCAAGTTCCTCCTGCATTGGTGGCCTCAGAGAAACCCTTCCAAGCCAGCCAAGACCTCTCTTAGATCTACATGGGCATGGGGTGGTGTGTTGGTAGTTAGGGCAGGAAGGTGGTGGCTCCCTTTATGTGCAAACCTCCAAAGTTTCACCCTTCTCCTGGAATAAGTGACAGTGAGTGGCTGGAGATGACTCATTTCCCTTCCTCCCTACAAACCCTAGACTTTGCTCAGGACCAGGGAAAGAGGCAGAGGGGGCTGGGCAGCTGATAGACAGTAGCTCTCTTTGCTTTCCCTTGTTTTAGGGATGAGCTGACTTGGAAATTGGGGCTGAACCCTTCAATAGTAAGTCAAAGTATTATAGGAAGGTGGGATGCTAAGATGGCCTGGGTCCCAGCCCAAAGGCATCCATCCTGGGTGACAGCCCAAAGGCATCCATCCTAACTTGCTGTGTGATTGGGGTCAGGCTGAGCCCTGATCCTGGTGATGTAGGGTATTGAGAACCTGGAGTGGCAGAGTGGCCCCTGTACTGAATCTGATGGCAATGCTCTGCCCCAAGTGCAGTACCCACTGTGTGACCTCAAACAAGCCATTTGCCCTCCTTGAGGTCAGGATTCCTCATAAGCAAAATGAGAGGGGTGGGCCTGACCATGAGGATTACATGTTACCAGACCCATCATATACTTAATTGCTCAGGATCTCCATAGCAACTGGCTTTTGGTTTAAAATTACACCAATAAAGAGAAGCTTAATTCTTGGGCCATCATCCTCTTCCTCTTTGAGTTGTGGCACATAATCTGTTATTGTTGTTGTTGTTGTTAGGGTGCATCAAGTCAGTTCCGACTCGTAGCGACCCTATGTATAACAGAACGAAACACCGCCTAGTCCTGCACCAGCCTCACAATCCTTGCTATACCTGAGCCCACTGTTGCAGCCACTGTGTCAATCCATCTCGTTGAGGGTCTTCTCCTTTTTTGCTGACCCTCTACATTACCAAGCATGACATCCTTCTCCAGGGAATGGTCCCTTCTGACAACATGACCAGAGTAGGTGAGACAAAGTCTGGCCAATTCTTGCTTCCAAGGAACATTTCCAGGACAGATTTGTTCATCCTTCTGGCAGTCCTTGGTGCTTTCAGTATTCTTCGCCAACACCACAATTCAAAAGCATCAACTCTTCTCTAGTCTTCCTTATTCATTGTCCAGCTTTCACATGCATATGAGACTATTGAAAATACCATGGCTTGGGTTAGGTACACCTTAGTCTTCAAAGAGACATGTTTGCTCTTCAGCACTTTAAAGAGGTCTTTTGCAGCAGATTTGCCCAATGCAATACATCTTCTGATGTCTTGACTGCTGCTTCCATTGGTGCTGATATTGGAAGCAAGTAGTATGAAATCTTTGACAACTTCAGTCTTTTCTCCATTTATTGTGATGCTGCTTATTGGTCTAGTTGCGACAGTCTCCTGATCTGTGTACAGGTTCCTCACAGCACATTTAAATGTTCTGGAATTCCCATTCTTCTCAATGCTGTCCATAATTTGTAATAAGCCACACAGTCAAATGCTTTTGCATAGTCAATAAAACACAAGTAAACATCTTTCTGGTATTCCTTGCTTTCAGCCAAGATCCATCTGACACCAGCAATGACCCTCATTCCACATCCTCTTCTGAATTCAGCTTGCATTTCTACAAGTTCCCTGTCAATATACTGCTGCAACCATTTTAGAATTATCTTTAGTAAGATTTTACTTGCGTATGATATTGTTTGATAATTTCGACGGTCTGTGGGATCACCATTCTTTGGTGATTTCTTTCTGTTATTATCAGCCTCAATTAAATGATTATTTATAATGCTTATCCACCTGTATCACACTGAATCACGTATAAATCTTCCCACTTTTTATCCTGTAAAGCTCCTGGCCTTTGGGTTTTGTAAACCTTATGAATATTTTCCTGTCACTTATCCGCCATA